AGAGGAAACTGGCAACATACATGATGTTTCATTCAGAACGAAGTTAACGAGGCCAGCGTGGAACCGATCAAGAAGGCAAGAAATGCATACGTCTAGAGTTAACAATTTAAATAGACGAATAAATGAATGAATGAATGCTTCATTTAACGTGGATATACGCTTAGCTTGAGAGCTAGTTTAAAGGTATTCCATCTAATAACTAATGAGAACCTAACAACTAAACAACGCTAATATTACAATTCATCAGGTAAAATCACAAATTAAATACTGATTAAAACTATTCAAAACTATTATTACAATATTACCGCCGCAGTAATACTATGAAAACTAATGTCACAAATTAACTAATCCCCGCAATTTAGCGATCTAATTCTGTTTACTATTTCACTGATGCCTACTTTTATTCTAATGTCATTTGATAGTTCATTCCATCTCTTGGCTGCAAAATATTTCCGTACAAAATATCTCCATGCAAAATATCTCCATGATCAAATATATTTTGTTTGTCCAAAAAGCATACCTGCAATCCGAGTTTAATCGCACGCCAACATTAAGCTCTCCAGCTCCCATCGATTTTCTTTGTCACCTGAATATACAACAGGTAAACTATGACAAGCAGAAAGTCCTCCATGCGAACAATGAAAGCACCCCAACGAAAGGTGCTAAATACACAGTGAATAAGAACAAATTAACCTTTTAGTCTGCCTCTTTTCGGCCTCACTCAACTTTCGCAGTCCAGGAACGTGGACGAACAGTTCTTGCAAGGAATGCTGGGACTCACCTCGCGCGTTACTCGAAACCAGGACGCGACATCGAGGACAACGTGGGTCAAAAAAATGATTTTATATTTTACCAGGAGCCATAATTATGGCTCCTGATTTTACCTAAGAATCTCGAGATACTCTAAAGTCATTTTCCTTTGTTTCTCAGTGTCAAAACTATCACGAAACTGAATCTAGGTCATGGCGAAACATTTGAAATAAAAATAAAAAAAATTAGCTGTCGTGGTTCGCGTTCTACGGACAACGCAGACTTTGGTCATTTCACGTTGTTAGGGACCTTACGCATATACGACGGCGACGGCGAGGACGACGCCTAGTAAAAAATGTG